AAGCTGAAGGAACAGCCCATTGGAAATCCAATCTTGGTGTTTTTGGCTGAATGCCCTTGGATTATTAATTCCACATAAATTACATGAGCCAGTGTTCCCATTTCAGTGACTGGAATGCTTCTTCCTGAGAGAAAACCTCACCTGGAGGAGCTGTCAGCCACTGCTGGACGTGGCTCACGTTTGAGGGGTGAATTGCAGCTGATTAACAAGAGTCTGGATCAAATGTCCATTCTCAAAAACTGGGATTTTCTGTCCCACTACCAGGTTCTTTTTTTTGGCAGTGGGCTTTCTAACAAGTTTTAAAAATTCTTTACAAACCCATTTCTCACGGGGGTTATTTTGGGTGGCTCCAGGTGGGAGCTTGGGAGGGGGAGAGGAGCCTTGGTGACGTGCAGTGACAGTGACAGTGACAGTGGCAGTGATGCCCTCTGTGCCACACGGGCAGACAGCCCTGGGTGCCTTTTCCCTGTGGGTAACTCACAGAAAAGCTGAACCATTTCATAGTGTGTGTGCAACAAAATTTGGAATTTCTGCTTGATGGCCACGGGGGTGACATGCTGGAGGGGAAATGGCACCTGAGCCAAGGGCCTGGAGAACTGGGTGGAGGAAAAGGGGTTGGAAACTGGGTGAAAACCACCAGGAATTGTCTTTTTCTGGAGAAGCCAGCCCTGCTTGAGCTGCACATTCATCTGCTCCTGCTAAAGAAACGCACAGCTGCTCTCTGCCTGCATTTATTGTTTAATTCATTCATGCTGCTTGCTGGAAACACCAGCCTTAAAGTCCTTCTGGGGCAGAGTTTGCTTTAAAGCAAACTCTCCATGGAAAAGGCTTTCCTTTAAATTTAGTACAAAAGAAAAGCCCAACCAGTTTTATTTATAGATCAGGGCATGAGAGATTTGCAGTGCTCAAGCCAGTGCTCTATCTCTGTTTCTCCCATAAAAACATGTTTAGCATTTTTCTCATCCGACCAGAAGAAAATTCTTTTATTGAGATTTTTTTTTCCCCTTGCTAAAATGCAGCCACTTGAATGAATGACAAAAAAAAGAAAAAAATACTGGATTTACCCATTTGATAATTTAGTGAGTTGTGATTCTGTTCCTGGGTGACATGAGTTGGGTTTTGGTCATTCTTTAATAGATCATCTCTTACTTCTGTGGCTTTGGGACAGTTTATAAACCTAAGGTTGTATTTCCCAGAGATCTGTACCAGATGTATGATAAATTTAGGAGTTTTATTATATTTTTTAAATATTTTTTATTATTTTTATTTTACATTTTATTTTTATTCTAGATTTTATGAATATAGAAGCATCCAGAAATTCCTTGTGGAATGTGTGCTCATAGGAGCAGTGAGAAAATGGCTAAATGGAGAAATGGCCAGAATTGTGGCCTTTCCAACAACCTGGGAGATAAAATTAACAATTTCATATCAGATTGTGTTTAATGGGAGGGCAAAATGTTAAATTGGTTTGTTTGGTGAATGACAACGCTGCCAACACATCTTGATTTCTACTTATTCATAATAAAATGCAGAATTTGGGTATCTTTAAAGTGATGGTTTTCCCTTTCCTGGTGGAGGTGGGTGGTGATGATCAGGTCCATCTGTAAAAAATTAAAGGATGAGGTGGTTATTGAGCAGAATTCTGAGCTGCTTTGCTGGCAGGGCTGTCACAGAGCTCAGTGTCAGCTCAAAAAGTGCTGCAACCCTTAACTCTTTAAAAAAGAAGTTGGGGACAATAGCAGCTTACTCCTTTGCTGAAATGTTGAAATTTTTCCATTTTGCTGTTTCCCAGTCATTCTTTAACCCTTGTTGTGCCCTGCCTGCCTGTTTTTAGTGGCTGACACACTTCAGAATCAAAGGTTTCACTGCCTGGATGGTTCCCTCTGCTGAGCTTTGTGTCAAAAATCACTGATTATGCCTCAGCTTCCCTTCCAAATGTCCGGGGTGTTTGTCATCTGTAACTGAGTCACATTCTGGGATGCCTGAGGGAGGAGTTCAAAGGTTGTCGTGATCATTTAATAGAAAATATGTTCCCCATATGAAGCAGTGCTGTCCTTAAAATGCACCAAAGCACCTGGAAGTGTCCAGGGTGAGGCTGGCCAGGGTTTGGAGCCCCCTGGGACAGGGGAAGTGTCCCTGCCCTGTCCCTGCCCTGTCCCTGCTCAGGGCAGGCTGGGATGAGTTGGGATTTAAGGTCCCTTCCCACCCAAACCAGGCTGGGCTCCTGTGGATGGGCAGGTGCTGAATGCTGCTCTCATCTGAGCCATTCCCTGAGCAATCCATGGATTTATGGGATGAGAGATCTGAGACTGCTGTGGGTGGAGCTGGGGAGGAAAAGGGGACATGAGGGGAGTGGGGGGGGGTCACTGAAGCCACCCCTGTGACAGGGTGACAGCAGGGACAGCCCCTGTGCTGAGGGTGTGACTGCCAGAGCGGCTCCAGGTCAGACAGAGAAGTTTCCTTAACATATTTAAGTCATTGTATGGATGATCTCACTCCATTATTTTCCACAGAGCTTCTCAGCTCACTCTATTTAACTTTGTAATTCAGAGAAATGAAACCATTTCCCCATCTCCCCCCTACCAAGGGAGCAAAACCACAGCTGAGTGGCAGTGAAGCAGCTCCTGATGTGTGTCAGGGCACTGGAAGGTCCAAAATGAGAACATGAGGAGGTCTGGAGGTGAGTTTGTGTTTGTGGGGTGTGCCTGCCTGGCCTCCCTCTGCTGTTTTAGGGGGGCTTGTTCTGCAAGCAGGAGCTCTGCCTGAGCATCCTGCACAGCTCTGTTGTTGCAGAGAGGATAAAAGACATTTATTTACACCTGTTTTATGTTTTACTCCTGTGTTCTTGCACCAGGGAGGCTGGAAGTTGCTTTTGCAGCAGCAGAGGGGGCAGCTTGGGCACAGAAAAGGAATGAAACAGGATTTTAAGGGGAAGGCCTGATAAAACAAGATGTCCCTTAGCAAATTGACTTTGAGTTTGCAGCTTGCTGTGCTGCTTTTTTTATAAATCCCTTCACCATTTCTTGAGAAACTTTATTTCCTTCTTGGAAATGACAAGATTCCAGCATGGAATCCCAGACTGGTTTGGGTTGGAAGGGTCCTTAAAGCTCATCCCATTCCATGAGCAGGGCAGGGACACCTTCCAGCATCCCAGGATGCTCAGAGCTCCATCCAAACTGGCCTTGGGCACTTGCAGGGATGGAGCATCCACGACCTGAGCCAGAATTATCCATCCAGACTTTAGTTTGACCCAGGTGTCAGTGGAATATTTTATTTTCATGCCAGTTGTAAAAGCCTTTCTCTCCCACAGGCTGTAAGGCAGTGTTTTCAGGTTTCTGACAAGGAATAGTCAGAGTGTCTGGTGCTTTCCCAACTGGGCCATTCCTTCCCTCAAATTCTGCTCTTTGCTCTGTTTTAGCACAGATCTTCCCAGGAATAACCCAGTGGAACATGAGTCACTGCAGGAACCAGTGCTGGGGCGAGGTGGGCTCCTGGCTTATAAATGGCACAATTGTAGATACAGGAGTGCAAGGGCTGCTCTGCTTGGAAAGCTGGCTGGAAAATAGCACTCATGAGGCAGGCAGGCATTTATATCCACAGGAACCATTGGATATTTTGTATATATTTGCATTTCATTTTCTAACCACACTTTTGGAGCTTGGTTTTTAACTATTCACTGATGAGCTTATCACGGGCTGCACCTCACAGCAAAATTCTGGCCTCCCTGTGGGGCTGCCACAAACCCTCATTTGGGTAATTTCTGGGTTTAAAAGCCACCAGCAAGGTAAAAAAGCCTGATAAGGTCCCTGCCAGATGTTTGAAGTGTTACTGAAGTGTCTGGGAGGGTCTGTGTGAAATTTGGGGTGTCTGAATGCAAAGAGAACTCTGACAGTGTTTGTCCATTGCTGTTTCAACCCAAACCTCTGCAAGGAACGAGTAGTTTGTTCTTCCACCCGTAAAAGAAAACCACAATAAATGTGGATTTGTGAGTGGGGAAAGGTTTCTCTCTCAATTCCACCTCCGGGGGGGTGAGCAGAGTCCCCCCTGCCCTGGGAGAAGGGAGTGGGGGGAAAACTTTGTGAGAATTTTCACAAATAACACCAAAACCTTGCACGGTTCCACACCGAAATTGTGGGGAGAGGAGAAACGGGGTTTAGCAGCCGGGACAGAAGGATGAATCCCTGGGATGTGTAAATTTTACCTTTCACCTTCCTTGAGTTTTGGGCTGTCCTGTCCTGCCTTGGATGGTTCGGGCTCAGCAGTTTCCGCAGCTGATGTGCCACTGTGGGGAGGATGGATTTCCCAAAACTTTTTTTTTTTATATTTTTTTGCGGGGATTAAAAGGCATTTTGAAAAGAATTCCCACCTCGTTCTAAGCCGTGACTGCATTTAAGAGGGAATTAGTGGGACAGCAGCACGAAGAGGGGGACACGGGGTGATCCCAAGGCAAGCCCGGGTAATTCTGCTCAGCTTGGCCAGCTCTGCCCGAGGAATGAAGTTGACTCATTCTTCCTGGATGCGATCCACCTCTCATGGAAATCGATGGAATTCTTTCTGCCGCCTTTTTAACACATGTTCTTACAGTTACTTTCTCCTCGTTTGTAAATCTACATGAACTCTTGCTTCCCTGCGGTTAAAAATATTATTTTTTTTTTCGCTGGTGATGGACCAGTCACTCCGAGAGTCCCGTAAATACTTTCCCATCTCTGGTTGTGATCTGCAGAGCCGAGCACAGGAGCTCTTTGTGCTCTCTGCGCTTCCACCATTTCATTGATTCCGCCTTTAAGGTCAGGGGGAGAGCCGGGGGGGGCAGGGGGGTCCCCCAGCATCGGGGGGTCCCGGGGGGCCGGGCCGGTCCCTCTCCCCCGGGACCAGGGATGACGGCGACATCACCTCACACTCCATCAGGTTTTTTTTTTGCCATCCCCCCCGGCCCGTGAGTTATGCTCTGAACTGCCTTTTTCAAGATTTTTTTTTTTTTTTTTTTTTTTTTTTTTTTAAGGAGCTGCTTTGTATTAAATGAATAAAATATGTTCGTGTCCCGTCGGGTCCCTGTTCGCTTCCATTCCGCCCCTTTATAAAAAGGAGTTAATCGGGAATGAGTTGCCACTGGCTTTTTGCAGTTTATCGCGTTCCCCGAAGGAGTTTTACATCCTCAGCCCATTGGATCATCATCTTTTAATCCTAAAAAGAAAACTCTGCCTGTGTATGGGGTGTTTGAACGCAGAGATCCCGGTGCCTTGTAAACAGTTTCGGGACTTTTTTGACTTTTTTTCCCTCCCTAAACCCAGTAAGAATTTAGGTTCGCGTTTATTTTATGCTTTCACAGATGCTTCTGGTATCAAAATTTCGCCGCTTTAATTTGTTCGGCTGTAGGAGAACAGCGTCTGTCCAGCGCCAAGAATGTTTTCAGGTGCTCTGGGAACAGATAAATGTTTCCGATTTTAGAAAACGCTGTTAGTGTTTAAAGAAAAAGGAGCATTCGGAGAAGGGCTTGAGTCTTTTTCCTGTTTGTTAGGGGGAAATAAAAAGTGTTCTTAATTATGACTTGCGGGGTTGGGGGCGATGCTTGGAAAGCTCCTCCAGAAAAGTAATTCTAAACAGTAAAGAAGGGGGGGAAAAAAGAGGAAAAATGCTCTATGATGTTTTATTTTAATAATCCTTTGCAGGCATGTGAGCCGTGGTCTGAGGGAGAAAAAAAAAAAATAAAGAAGTTTCAGGAAAAAGGCACGAACAATACCGCCTTTAAACCCAAATCTGCAAACTTCTGAGAATATGCCCTCGTATTGAATACACCGGATTTCTCTCCCGAGCGAAGGGGAAGGTTTTGTTCGTTTGGACAGTCTTTGAATACTGTTCTAAAACTTCTTTCAAGTGGGAACTGAAGAGAGAAATGTTCAGTTCTGGGAGGAGACAATAAGTTAGCATCTTTGAGCGGGGTCCCTTGCATGCAAATCAGCCTTTTGGCAATTTGGGGAACTTTAATTGGAAGGTGGAAGCGTGCAAAGATAAGAAAGCGGCATCGGTAGGAGCTGGCTGGGGGTCCGGGGGGGCTCCGGGCCCCGCTCCTCACCTTGCCCGGGGACCCCGGCCCAGCCCCCGGCCCGCCCCGCCGGGCACCGCCGCCCTCCCCCGCTCCCGCTCATCCCCCAGAGGTGTTTCGGACATCAATCCCTCGCTCTGAACTTTCTATCATTTTCACCTCGTGAATTTTTGTCGCCCCTTTCTCTCCCCACCCCACCGGGGATGGAGCGGCCGCGGCTTTGGGCTGCGGGCAGCTCCTCCTTGGGAATCGCTGCTCGGGCTCCTCATTTCCCAGCGGCGGAAAAAGGTCTTGAACTCAATTAATAGCTAATAATTATCCAGCCAGCCCCGCCACAGCCGTCCTAAGCGAGGGGGAGCGCAAGTGAATCAGGCGCGGGTCCCTCGGTGTCCCCTTGGGGACTTGCGCTGCTCTTTAGGGGCTGAGCCTGGGGCAGGGACAGCGAGGGGACAACGAGGGGACAGCGAGGGGACACCCCCGAGGGCTCCATCGGGGCTCCCCAGGGGATGGGGTCACCCTCCGGGACGAGCGGAGGAAGCCCCGAATTGGGGCAGAGCAGCGATTTGGGGTTCAGCCCTCGCCACCCCCACAAGGTTTTATTAACGCAAACCCCAAACCCTGCGGGGCTGCGGGCCCGGCTGGGGGCTGCAGCAATGAACCCCAAAAGGGGAACCCCAAAAGGGGAACCCAAAAGGGGAACCCCAAAAGCGGAGCAGCTCCCTGCGAGCCTCAAATCGGGGCGAGTTGGGGCGATTCCGAGGGAAAAGGCGGCTCAGGTCGTTGTGGTGCCTTCAAAATTCGGTATTTCGGCTGCAAAATGCTCGGTGGAAAATTGCCCCAGCGGTACCCGCCTGCCAGGGCTGCTCGCTGCAGGGGAGAGTGTCCCCAAAATCCCCCCGGGAAGGGCAGACCACAGCCCGGACAGAGCTCGGGCTCTTTCCGTGACAAAACTCAGCTGAATTACAGCGCACCTCCTTTCCATTTTGCTTTCATCTGGCAAGCAATCTCCGGGCAAAAATATTTTGATCAAACGTCGAAAAAAAATGCTATAACTCACTAATTTCCCTTCATTCCCAGAGACCGTTATGATTAAAATTGTGTTTCTATCCCCAAAACTGTCTGTTCATGGGAGACAACACTGCTCGATGTCTGACGATTGTAATTATAATCATGTTCAAGTTAGATATTCAAATGTAAATGGTGCTTTTCTTTTTCTTTTCCTTTTTTTTTTTTTTTTTTTTTTTTTTTTTTTTTTACGACTTCTTATTTTAGGACGTGAATTTTTACCTTCGCTGGGACCAGCAAGGCGCAGCCTCGCGCGGTGGAGTGTAACGAATTCGGAGGAATTCTTAGAGCTGAACATGTTTTTTGAAAAATCTGAAATAGCAATTGACACGGTGTTTTTTCATGGCCGGAGGAGCCAGTGTTTTCTTCTAGAAATAAGAAAAAAAAATAATCTGATCACTTCATTTTGAGGGTTTCAGTGCAGCTGGAATATCAGGGAAGAGGTGCAGGACAGTGAATGCAGGCACAGGTTATGCTGCAGTATTAATCTTTCCCTGTGTATTTCATCGCTAAGGGGACCAGCAAGAGTGACTTAATTTATTTTTTTTTTCCCTTCCCTGTACAAAATGCATCCATTTCTCCCCTTCTGCCTGGCGCTTGTTCCGGCATTTCTCAAAGGTTTTCGGGTAAAAAAAAAAAAAAAAAATTCATTTAAACCAATGAGAGTGTAAATAGGTCACTTCAGGAAAGGCTCTGGCGGGTGGAGGATGTGACACCCACCCTGAGCTCCATCTCCTACCTGGGTGCGCTCGGAGCGGCCCCAGCATCGGTGGGAGGACCCGCCACCTCCTTCCAGCGGGGAGAGGGGGCGCAGCCACCTCTGCAGTGTTTAATTTTTGTTATTTTTATGTTTTTCTCCTCTCCCCGGCCGCCAGCACAGCCGCTGCTGGGAGGGCGAGCTGTCCCCGCCGCCCGGCCGGGGCGAGGGATGCTCGGTGGGGTTCCCCCGGTGTCCCCGCGGCACGGGGGTGGCCCGGGGGTGGCCCGGGGCTCCCGGTTGTCCTTCGGGGCTCCCGGCTGTCCTTATCCGCCCCCTTGCGCCGGCTGCTCGCAGGGAGCGGGGCTGGGGAGGTGTCGGCATCCCCGGGCTGGGAGGATGCGGAGAGCGCTGCCCCACGCGTGGGTGCGAAGCAGCTCCTCAGCATCCCCGTGGATGCTCCCGCCGCTAATTAGCGGCAGATTAACAGGGCAAATCCCCAGGGAAAGCGTGTGACATTTCCCAGCGCCTGATCTGCCACCCCCGTCCTGTGCCACCGGGTTCTTGCGTAGTTTCAAATATTTAATTCCCGGTTTAATCCCGTGCGCAGAAACAAGGAGCGATTGATGCGAAAATCCTCGGGAAGGGGCGACTCGGGGCGTGCGGCAGCGCCCGGACAAGCTGGACGGGCTCAACCATTTTAATCTTCTTTACTGCTTGGAAATACTTGTGCAAAACAGCTCGCCAAGAGCCTTTCCCCTCTCCCGTGCCCCCGTGGGTGCCCACCCGAGCCCGCGGCTCCCGGGAGGGCCACGCGGGGATGGGAGCCGGGCAGTTCCCACGCAGCGCTTCACCTGCAGCGTGTTTCCCCGCAGAACACCTGGGAACACGCGGCTTGTGCCGGAGATGCCGAGGAACCCACCCGTGAGGAACCCACCCGTGAATTCCTGCCGCTCCAGGGCTGCGGGGACCCCCCCACGCCGCGGGGGCTGAAATCTCTGTTAGCAGGGCCGGGCTGGAGGAGCAAAGAGGGGCGAGGGCGGAGGGGATCAACCCCGAGCAGGCTCATTTCGGGACCCCCCGCTCCCCTGAGCCCCCAGACCCCACAGACACCCCTCGGCCCGGCGGGTCCCCATCCCCTGACACGCGTGGGCTGCAGAGGGGCTTGGCTGCTTCTTTCCCTGCGGGAGATGATTATTAAATCTCGATGGCAAATCGATGGAGCGGTTTTCCCCTTCAGCCATCCCCGCGCTGCCCCGGGCTGCCCGTGGGCAGAATTCCTGGGGCAGTGGCGGAGCCCGGAGCGGCTCCAGGCCGGGCAGGGCTCCGGCTCCTTGGCAGCCACCCGCCTTGACCCTGCCGCTTCTCCCTCTCTCCCTCCACGGTCATTCATTTGCCGTTCCCCGTGGAAGCGACACGCACTCAGACAGGTGCAGGCTGCAAAAGCCGGTGCCCACCGCGGGATGCTCGCCCGCCGGGACACGGGGGGGGTTCGGGGGTTCCGGGGGGTTCGAGGGTCTGTCTGCCCGGCGCACAGCTCGCTGAGGGGCTTTGCTGAGCCCCGGTGGGAGCAGGAGCGTGTCCCGGACGGGCTGTGCCCGCAGTGCCCGGAGTGCCCTCGCCACCAGCCCCGAGCTGCTCGGGCTTACAGCGAGCCGGGCAAACGGGGCCGGTTCCCGGGACCAGAACTGCAACCGCTGCGGGAAGGGATCCCACTCGTGTCGGGGGTGGCAGCGTGTCCTTCCCCACACGCCCCGCAGCCCACAGCCAGCACACCCCGGCACCTTCCATATTCGTTCTCTCTCTTTTTTTTTCCCAATCTTTTTTCACCCTTTTATCTATTTTTTATTTTAGTGGGGGTTTATTCCCCTTTTCCCCCTTTTTCCCCCTTTTTCCCCTTTCCCGGGCCGGCAAAGCGCCGCAGCCCGGCCCCGCCGCCTCGGCCCGGCAGGAACGCGGCCGGAGCCGGGGAAGCGGCACGGGCAGAGCCGGTGACAACCGGGGCAGCCCCGGCACGGCGGCTTTCCATCGCTTCTCGGTGCTTTCGTTTGCAGAAGCATCACCTCAAACCGTGCTCCCCCCACACCCACCCCAACCGTGCACCCCCGAAAGCGTTTTGTTTCTCCCCAAATATCCCCGAGCGGCTCCGCCGGAGCGGGGCTGTTCCCCGCAGGAGCTGATTCCTGGGGGACTCAGGGTGATGGAGATGGGGGGATTTTGGCGAGAAAACAAAAGCCGAGGCTGTGCGGGGCTGGGGCTGCGGGGGGCACGGCCGCGGTGCCCACCCGGTGCTCCGAACCCTCCGTGACCCTCGTTCCCCGGCTCGGGGACGGGGACGCGGCCACCGGGGCATCCTCCCCTGGCCAGCCGCGGCTCTCCCGGCTCTACCCGCTCCAATAACAGCGAGAAATAACCCGGGACGAGGTTTTCAAACTGAAATCCGCCCGTCCCGGGAGCGGTTCGGTGGGGGACGCGGGGACAGCGAGAGTCCGGGATGGCTGGAAGAAATATTTCAGAATATTGAGTTAGGAACACTCGAGCTCCTGTTTCACCGGTGAGGTTGGGAAGGGCTTGTTTTTCCAACCTCGGGGTGCCCGGCGCGCCGTGGAACGGCGTCCTCGGGGCAGGAATTCACAGGCACCGCTTCGGCATTTTAGGCGACACGTGGCTCCGAGTTCCCTTCAAACGGATTTATTTGATTTGGCCTCCTGCTCCCCCACCCTTCCCTCGAACTCCGGCTCCTCGGTAGCATCTGAAAGGCCTCTGCTCCCATTTGCAATTAAAGAGTTTATTGAGGAGGGGAAAACCGGTAATTAGCAGGAATATTCCCCCCCTCCCCAGTTCCACCTGCAGGGCAGGAGTGCAGCTGCCGGAATGGCTTCCAGCAGGGACCTGACGCACCCACACAAGTTTTGCTTTGTTTTTTTTTGCGGTGCCCTTCGGTGCGAGGGCTCCCCGGGATGGGTCCGCACCTCCAGCGCGGAGCTCCGCGCTGCCCTCACCCCATTATTTTATGGAATGTTTAAGAACGACGCGCGTTTTCTCCCTCTCTCCATATTAATCTCATTAAATCCTACCTTTCAACCTTCTTCCGTGACCATCTGACCTGGCCACTTGAATTAAAATAGTGCTTTCTCCGCAGTCAAAGCCAGCACATCAATCACCGGCTATTTACACTTCGCTCCTCTCTTCAAAGCGCCTCAGCCCCGGCGCTCGCTCCCTCCGCTGGGGGGGCGGCAGGTCCTGGGGGGCTCCCGGAGCTCCGGGGGTGGCTGTCCTTCCTCTCCCCCCTGTCCTGGGCTGGCTGGCGGCTTCCCCCGTCCCTGGGGAGCGCTGCCTTCCACCTGAAAGGAGAGCAGAGCGGCCGCCCTCCCCGCCGACCCCTCCCGGCTGCCCGCGGCCCTCCCGGCGCGGCTGCCGCGACAAACCGAGGGGGAAAACCCCGCAAGCAGCGCCAAAGCCGAGCCGGGGATAGAGGAGAGAAGGCTGGAAAAAATTCTGGTAGAAACACGAGAAATAGCGACAAAACACAACAGAGCAAATTGTGTTATTTTAAAAGTTATTATTTTTAAAGTTATTCTTTTTAAAGTTATTATTTTTAAAGTTATTATTTTTTAAAGTTATTCTTTTTAAAGTTATTCTTTTTAAAGGTCTTCTTTTTAAAGTTATTATTTTTAAAGTTATTATTTCTCAAGTTAGGCAACCCCCCCCCCTCCCTGAGCCGAAGGGGGAGAGGAAGGCAAAAAAAAAAAAAAAAAAAAAAAAGGAAGAAAATAAAGACAGACACTGGTTGAAAAGTTACGTAAATAAACATTTTTCAGATTAAAAACAAAAGCATGTCCAAACTAGGAACGTTTACAAGATGACAACTACTAACAAACTTTCTCTACAGCATTGCTATTTAGCAGTAATAATAATAATAATAATAATAATAGAATAATAATAATCACCTCTTTATAGGATGGCACCTTCATCCTTAAATATTGTCCAGTGTGTAAGGTCAGTGTGCGGAGGGTTAGGAGCGGAGAGGGCTGATTTTTCTTAAAGGGGCAGATCAGGGGAAGGCTGTGGTGGTGCCGGCAGAGAGGAGGGGGCAGAGATAAGTGGTGTGAGGAAGAGGATAGGACAAAAAAAAAAAAAAAAAAAAAAAAAAAAAGAGAGAAGAAAAAAAAAAAAAAAGACCAAACCAGCTCGATGATGATGAATACATTGGAAAGTTTTTTTGGCCCTGGTGAGGGTGTCAGATTGAATGCTCTGTGCGCATGTGCGAAGGTGTCCAAACTGACAATGCTGGGGAGATGAAGATAGTGTGTAGCTGCTTCTGGGCTCAAGGAGGAGGAGAGGAATCCACACGCCGACACGATGAGATCCAAGGCGAGGGCGAGAAAACTGCCCAAAAGTAGGTCCTTTCTCTCCCTTTTTCCGCGTCCCGGCGGCGGGGCCGGGGGTGCGGAGCCGGGCCGGGGCTGCCGGGGCTGAGCCCCTCTCGCCCTCCCCGCGGCCGCCGCCGCCCGCCCGCCCCTGCCCGCGGTCCCCCCGCGCTGCCCCGCGCCGCTCCGCGCTGCCCCGCGCCGCTCCCGCTGCGGGGCCGGGGGAGAGAACAGAGAAAAGCGAAAGTTAGCTGGAAGTTGACGAAAGGGGATAGCGAGCAACTTTTTTTTTTTTTTTTTTTTTTTTTTTTTTTTTTTATTGAGTCGTTCCAAGTCTTGTGAAATAATATTATTCCCGGCTCCTGAAATAGTGGGCGCTAGAGGTCTGCGTTTGGCATCCGAGAGACGGAGCGCTGGAGAGAGGGGGGAGAGAGACAGGCAGAGACGGCGGGGGGGGGGGAGTGGGAGAAATCCTTCTGGTCTCGGGAACAATTATCGAGGAGAGGGAAGGAAGAGAATTTGTAGCAAAAATGGATCCGCTCTCAGTGAGGGGTTTTGGAGTCGCAGGTCCAGAGGGAAGATCCTGAAGGCAGCTCGGGTGTCCCAGCTGGGGGTTAAGAAGGTCTGGGGGAGGGGAGTGTGGGGGAGTGTCTTTAATTTTTAATTTTTTAAAATTTACTTGGGGGTGGAATTGCAGCTCGTAAGGCTCGCGCAGCTTTTCCCCTCCGTCTTCCAGCGGACCTTCTCCCGTTCGTTCTTTCTTTTGAGTCGTTTTTAGGCTGGATTTTCCGAGGAGGAAGGAGAGTGTGGCTGTTGTAGGGAAGAGCGGGTCCTTCTGCCCCCGTTCCCGCAGAGTCCCGCTGCAGAGGCTCGGGATGGTTCCTCGGTGATTCCCTGTTAGGTTCCGCTGGCAGCGCAGGATCCCGGAGCAGCCTGGCTCTCCTTTTAGAATTATTATTACTATTATTATTATTATTATTATTATTGCTGTTATTATTACTCCTACTATTATTTAGTTTCTGTTTCGCTCTGCCTCTGGGCGAAGCGTCTGGAGCTGCAGAAGTTCCAGCGCAGTCTGTGCCCCGCCGCAAACTCCGCTCGGAGCGCTCGGAAAAGGCTCGGGCGAGCAGCGGCGCCGCTCCGCTTCCTCGCGTGGGTTTCCACGGGAGCCCACGGGGGACCTGCGGCCGCTCAGAGCCGGGTTTGGGGCGGGGGGATCCCCCACAGGTGAGGGGATCCCCCCAAGTGATGGAGAGCAGCATTCCCCCCTTGCAAACCCCTTCGGGCTTCAGCCTCTCCCCGCGGCTGCCGAGGGGTCGCGGCCGCTCCGGCGCTCCCACGCGTGGGCTCCGAGGTTGATTTTGTCATTCAAGTTCGGCATTTCGGAGCCTTTCCAGGCCGCCAAGGTCAGCCAGGGCCGGTGCCGCCCCTCGGGGTGACACCCCCGTTCCTGGGGGGACCCTTCTCCAAAGGCAGCGCTGCTCCTGGGGACACTTTTCCTCACCAAGTGGCTTTGTCGCCGCGTTTGTCGCCGGCCCCGAGCTCCGGTCGCCGCTCGTGTTTTGCGGCCGCCACGCAGCAGCCCCAGGCCCCGAGGCTCACCTTGGTGTCGCCACATTTTCCCTCGTGCTCCAGGAAGGTCCCCCTGTCCCCAAAGCGTGTCCGTGTGTCCCCCGAACACCTCCCTCAGCTCTACGGGCACCGAAGTGCTCAGGGAGGGATGGGTGACTCTTTTCGTGGTCATCATTGTCCCCGTCGCTGGGGCTTTATACGAGAAGTTCTTTGAATTAATCCAGGGGTTTTATTTTAGTTTATTTTATTTTATTGCAATAAATACTCATTTTAAGCTTCCCCGTTCAAATAATAACTTTTTAAAAAGTCGCCACTTGTTCTTTTAGATTGTTAAAGTGGGGAATGATTTTCAGAGCTCTCTTGGCTGGAAATGCCAAGTTCAATGGTTAAATAAGGGGGAATATTTCACTTTTACTTTTATTTTCTTTATTATTATTTTTTTGTTTTCCTCGCCTCTCCTTTTCTTTCTTATTACTTTTTGAAAAGCCCCCGGATTTTTTTTTGGGTTTTTTTTTTTGCAGATGTGCCCCGGCGGGTTCAGTGCGGGTTTTCTACAGATGTGTCCCCGGTGGGTGCGATGTGGATCCGGCCGCGTTTGAGCGCGGGTGGGACTCTCCACGCTCCCCCCGTGAACTCCTACAGCTTAAGGGCTGAAAGGTTCTCGGTTCCTGGATATTTGAGGATAAATCAGGATATCCAGGAGCTCGGGGAAAAGCCGGAGCCCCGCGGCCGGGAGCGAGCCCTTCCCGGCGGCCGGAGCCGCGGCCGCCACCGCGCCTGGAAGCGCCTGCTCGGAGGCTGAGCCCTGATTAAAATCAGGTGTTTCATACAACCCAAGGCCCAACGGTTTATGGGGTTTCACCGAGGATTTTTTAGGGATCACAGTTCAAAACAGTAGTCCAGAGCTAAGGTTTCAATATCCCAGGAGTATTTATTTGCCGAACAGATTAAACACGGACACGAGTGTGAGATCTCGCTGTATTTTCCCCGGCGAGGTAGCCACAAGTTTTTTCACCCGCAGGTCCGTTCCCAGCTCCCTTTCCTGGCTGCTCCATCCCCGGGAGCGGTGCGGGTGCTGGGGGAGCCCGCCCGGCCCCGGTGCGCGGCACGCGGGGCTTTAAACCACGCACTGCTGCAGAATTTCATTTCATTGGACAATATTTTAAGCAGATGTGAGGCTCCGCTGGGAATTCCACAATATTACCTGCCTGGGAAAAGGGGCGAACGCGTGTGCGCTGGGGTGGGAGCGGAATTCTCCGCGCTGTCGGTGCCACTCACCCCGGGAGAGCGGCAGGTACCGGGGGCACGGAGCTGAACCGGAGCCGGGAATGGCTCTCGCTCGCTCCGTGGCTCCCGGAGCCTTTAGAAACGGCTGTAAATCAAAAAACGAGGCTCGCTCAGGGTGCGGGGATGCGGGGAGGCGCGGCAGCCCCGGGGGTGCCGGTGCCCAGGTGAGCGCTGCCCCCGCATCCCCCGCAAGGCCGGGCTGTGCCCGCAGCCCCGAAGGGCATCACCAGGACGGGCAGGTAGAAGGCCACGCCGTGTCCCCGGCTCCAAGGGCCTCGTCCTTCCGCGAGAAAATAAAATCTGGGTGAGCGGAGAGAAGGCTCGGAGCAGCCGGGGTCTGGCCGCTGCTGGCAGAGGGAGGATGCAGGGGAGGCGAGTGACACCGGAGCTGGGCGCTGCACGCTTAAAGCGAATTCGTTTCCTTTCGAAATCCCTGAATTTCAGAGTACGGCTACAACACCGAGCTACGCACGGCAGGGCAGGATCGCAGAGTTCAAGAAATGCTCGTGCTGGCAAACGGTGGCTGATATTTCTGCAGCCCCGTTTGCTTTTCGCTGGTGGGAATAGCACCGAGACACGCTTCGGGGCCGGAGTTTTCAGGCAGCGCTGGTGCATCCTCCGGGCAGGCTGGATTGGCAGGAAAATAGTTGTGAACCCATCCCTGCCGTGCCCAGCACCGGTTCCTCGCTTTCAGGCTTCGCCTTCGAGGAGAGAACAGGCTTTCCGTTTAGTGCTATTTTATTAATTTTATTTTAATTAAGGCTGAAGAGACAGTGAAGGGGAAAGGGAGAGGAGCGAACGCAGAGCTGCAGCCCAAGCGCCACTTCCCGGCGCATGGCTCCGTTTGTGACTCTTCCACAGGAAAATTTATGGCGCTTTGGGGCGTTTAGATTTTTTCTCATCTCTGAAGTTCTCCCTTTTCCCTGTCCCTGCCCCGAGCCCCGACACCGGGGAGCGGAGCGGCCGCGCTGTGCCCGGCCCGGTCCCCTGCCCTCGGTGACCGGGATGTCCCCAAAGCTGTCCCGAGCCCGGCCGCAGGTGCGGGGCCGCCGCCGGGTCCCCACCGTGCCTGGTCCCCCCCTGTCCTGCCCCGGATCTCTTCAATTAGGCAATTAGGGATGCGGGGCAGGGAAGGCGGGGTGGTGATGGTTGGGGGGGTTTGATCCGCTAATTAAGGTGATGCGTAATTAGCACTTCAACAAAAATCGCCGAGGATTTGAGATCACTTTACTCTTATTTTTTTTTTCTTCCCCCCCCTCCCTCCAAATTCTACAAATATAATGTAGCAATTGCCCCACTCGTCCCGCGTGGTTTATTTTGGGAAAAAGGCACAGAGGGAACAACTGGAACTTGGCAAACAGGGGCACCGGGATGGGGTTTTGCCGAGGGGCACTGGCAGGTCCGAGGTGCCCAAATGCTGCAGGGACCGTGGACAGGGTCTGGCTCTGCCCCCGGCCGTGCCCGTGGGTGTCCGAGCGGCTCGGCTGAGGTGTGTGTGATGCCCATCCACGCGTGTTCACATCACGGGGCACCGGCGTGTCTGCACAGAAATAGAAGTTTCTGAAGTGCGTCAGAGGAAGGCACATTATCGTAAATTCACCGAATTCCCGATTTCACCGAATTCCCGTTTGCTGTAAAACCTCCGTGCCGGTGCAAGACGTGTCTGTCTGTGCAGAGGCGTTTGTCTGTCGGGCTGGCAGCGCACATACAAAGGTCTTAAAACACGCATTAAAATCACAGCTACTGCACGGTCACGACCCAGAATGTTCTGTGCAGAAATCGGA